CGACTGAATTGTTCCTCACCTGGCGCACGGGACACGGAAGTCGAAGATGCTGACGAAGTTTCACGCCTTGGGGGAGGTTGAGCCGGCCGGGAGTCGCTAACTGCACTTGCCATGACGGCTGATACAGCAAAAAGAGCTTATACATCATTAGATACAGCATTTCAAATATACAAAGCGCGATGCAACATCACCTGGAGTAGTTGACAAAGCTACACGCTTTGGGGGAGGTTGCGCCGGCCGGGAGTCGCTGACTGCACTTGCCATGACGGCTGATACAGCTGTATCAGCCATGACGGCTGATACAGCAAAAAGAGCTTATACATCATTAGATACAGCATATCAAATGTACAAAGCGCGAGGCAACATTACCTGGAGTAGTTGGCACAGGTGCGGATATCGCACTCTCAGCGACCACATCACCTGGTGCTGGGTGTTCAGGTAGCGTTCCAAGTTGCTGGTCAGCAGCAGCATCGACAGGAGCTGTAGCAACAGGAACAGCGGCTGACGCAGAAGAAGCCGCAGAAGGAGAAACACCTTTATCCGCCTCTGCGATTTGTCGCTCTTGCTGGAGTCGAGCTTCGTGATTTCTCTTCACCACTATACACAAATGTAATACAACTAGCAACGTCAATAAAGACTAACCAAAACAACTCAAAGTATGGCAAACCTTCTCGAGAGTACAGTAATAGAGCTTGCTCTCCAAGAAAGTAGTCCACTCCCTCTTTTCCACTGGGATCACCGCCTGGCTTGATGTACTTCCAGAAATGATTTAGGCTTCGGCTTGATGGTGGCTTCGCGGTCCACCCAGCCGACTTAAGGCCAGCCCAGAGTACGCGGAAGCTGTCAGGCCCCCGCACGGGCACAGGTACCGGAGTTGCTCCGCCAGAACAACTCCCTCGAGATGTTTCGCGGGTCCCCACCATCACGAGCTCTCAACCGCTTGTTGTCCACCGCAGAAAATCTTTGACTGGCGCTCAAGCTTGCGAAAAGGGCGCGAAATTTACCTCCCAAAAAGTATACTGCTTCGAAAGACTGTGCCAAACCTGGCACTTATAATATCTAAAAAAAATCGAGAAATTAGAAGCGGCCTTTCTCTCTCTCTTTAGACTCATCTGTAGGAAGATACATTTTCCGGCTCTCAAATTTTAATCTTCGCTTTTGTATACCTTGTGAATCTGTCAGAAACAAGTATAGTTTATTTAGGTATAAAACCACTACGCTGTATATACAGCGTAACAGCTGATTTCAAACGCAGCTTATACAGCTACCGGGTTGAAGGGGTTAAATTTGAGGCTTCTGGCCAATTATGATATTGTCACTCCCGGCTAAATTTGGATGCGCTGGGCGGTTTTGCAATTGGCCTCTAAATCGACCCAATGTCCTTGATTGGCTAAAATCTCAATCTAACCCATTATATTGGCCATAATTCAAATTGCTGAAGTCGAAGCGGCGCGCGGTGCGAGGGCATGGCGCGAGAGCGCTGTACGATAACTTAGACTACAGCTTGCGCTACAAGAAGAGGTGATTGACCTTGTTGTGCCTGTAAGTGGTTGTCTTTACTAACTACGGTCTCTGTAGCGTAGGCTTCATGGAGAGAGCAGTGACGCAGGGGCACGCACACCCCAACACAGTGCTCCATTGTTTGTACGCCTTCTACGAACATGAGTTGTCTCGGAAGCAGCTCGCTTTCGTATTCACGAAAAGTGAGACGCCAATCGGCAACTGGATCCGAACGTATGAGGCCACCGGAACGTTTGAGAGAGCGCAGACGAACGGAGCCAAAATGTTCACAGATGAGCACCGCAAATGACTGTGTGAGCTCTACTCGACACACCCACTAGCCTACCTAGACGAGGCACAAGAAACCTTCCAGTGCGCACACCGTATCACCATCTCGAAGTCCTCCGTATGGCGTATTATCCACGACTGTGGACTGACGTGGAAAGTATTGGAGCGACGTGCGATGCATATTAAAGACCAAGATGTGCTCCGATTCATTGAGGAACAGCATCATGTCGACTGGAGCCATCACAACCTTGTCTTCCTCGATGAAGTGTCATTTAATAATCGGGGGATGATCAGGAAGCGTGACTACTTGCTGAAGGGACAAAATTGGCAATTCGATGCGACTTTCAACGAAAACCACGGGCTTCTGTGTTGGTTTTCATCGGAGTTAATGGTCTAATTGATTGCTTTGACACTCAAGGCACGTTTGATCGCGTTGAGTTTCTCAAGTGCTACCAGGACTTTGCGTATACGAAACGCAATTTTGTTTGTCAATATCCAGGATCTCACTCCGTGTGGATCCTTGATGGTGCTTCCATACACAGACACCCGGAGATCGTGCACGTTTTATGGATCATTGGTATCGTGCCAATATTTCTGCCAGCATACTGCCTGTTCTTCAACCCTATCGAGTATATGTTTGGCTACGTGAAGAAGTTTTTCCAGCGGCACTACAATGAAAACAGCGGCCGCGATTTATTGCCGTTTGCAGTGCAGACATTTCAGCGATTTAAAAATTTCAACATGGCTAGAGGGTTTGCGCATTGCGGGTGGAACGTGCAAGGCCGCTTTTATCCCAGTAGTCCAATGTCGACGGAGAAGAGACAAACGCCTCAGTTTGGGGGGGAGTGTGCGGAGCCAAACAACACAGAAGATGAACTGGGATTTGATTTAGTTGATGAGGAATGTGGGGGTGATTAAAACGCCTGCCTACTCTTGGTGCTCGGTGTCTTCCGGGTTTTCCATCCGTGAGAATGGATCGATCACATCGGACACAGCCAGGAGGTCTACGTCAGCCAGGAAAGCTTGGATAATATTCCTTTTCGAAATCAAGGATTTCTTTTGAGCCTCCAATCGCAGTAGAATTCCGTTGACATCTTGATGGAGCTCTTCAATGTCTGCTAAACTTCCTTGCACACAATCTAGCGCCATTTCGCCAGACTTCGTAAGACCTTGAGCTCGATCCTGAACTTGTGATCTTGGAGCATGGAGGAGATGGATGAGGTGGCCGGTGGAGGGTCTGCAATTTGTTCCTGCCACGTGGAACGGTTCAGGTTTCGAGTGATGTAGTTTGTCCACAAGCGCCATCCAATTGTCGTTGTAGAAAGCGAAAAGCGCCAGTGCTCTTCCAATTGAGCAGCAACGTCACGAAGCGAGCCTTCAGCAGTAGCACCGGCGCGATCAGTCTGTTCAGGCAGGATGCACGCAGCTAAGAAGGCATCTCGATCTTTGGCTGTCGATAGTGCTGGTCCGTACTCAAAAATCTGCAAGATGGTGATCTTCTTCCGTGATTTTCTTAGCCAGTCATTCCAATCGAGCTCGTTCTTAGTGCTGTCAACTAGGTGCTTTCCCCGCTTAAATTGCATCAGAAGCTCCCAGTCGGCTTGCGCGAGGGACTCGACGGACTAATGCCCATCATCATTGACCGCTAGTCCTTTCACGTGCTCGCTAATCTCACTCCACAGCTTCTCAATGATCTCGTCAAAGGTGTCACCATTTGCGACGAAGTCGCCAAGTCTTTTGCCAGACTTATCTCGCTGGCTGACCGTCTTCTTGATAATAGGCCGTACAAGTAGCCGAAATCGCTTGGCAGACTGGATATCCTCCACATCTTCTGCTAGATTTGAAGCTGGCGATGACGCTGCGTGCCCGATACTGGTTCGCGAAGCCGGAAGAGGGTTCGACTGGACTGGCGATGAAAGCCCACTCGGTGATGCTGGCGGCGAGCTGCGATTGACTTCTGCTCGGGCTAAAGCTGCTGGTGCGTTGTGGACTTCTTCTATCGCCGAAGCTGCCGGCAAGTTGGAGTCATCTTCATCCCTGATCGAAGCTGGCAGCAGTCCGCAGTTGTCTTCGCTAGCTGGAGCTGCTGGTCTGTTGTAGTTCTCTTCTTCTCTGACCGGAGAAGGCAGCGAGCTGTCGTCGGAGCGCGATGATTCACGTGACGTTCGTCGAGAACTAAGACTATCAGGTGATGTGCTGCCTTGTGCTAATTCCGTCGATGTGCGTCGCTTTTTGCGGTTGGGAGTCGCATGTACTTCACGACGTGAGGCTCGGTTGCGTCGAGCCGATCCGTTGCTAGGCGGCATGTTTCCCCGCAGGTCGTCTTCAAGGTTGAAGTGGTTCCGCACGCGGGTTGAAGTGGCTCCGCACGCGGAAGTGCTGCCTCTGCACTTGCATTTCGTATGCTTTTAGATGGGATGAGCGATTGGCGGGGCGATTTGGCGGGGCGATTTGGCGGGGCGATTCATTCAATCGCCCAATCTAATTTCGAGTAGAGCTCACAATAACCTTACTTTAAGTTATCGAATGTCTCGCGAAATAACTAGCGTTTTTGAAGAGGTTATCGGTAATTCAAATATAAAAGCGTACACGGGCTAGCAGAACCTCTTAGCTGGCACGAAACCTTATAACCAATAAAAACTAATTTTCATTCGTAACCAAGTTTGCCGTCGACGGCTTGAATCCGATATATATCTATTAGTGCTTGTAGAGTAGCATGTCTTTCTTTACTAGAAGTGTTTGGAATCTTTGATCACGTGCTGTATTTGTATTCAACTAGGCAAGCTTAGAGTTCGCCACTTCCATTCGGAGGTGTATATCAGAAGTTATCGCGGGTTTGTTAATTCTTTAACGACAAGTATAACCACAATTATACCATTTTTTTAAAAGCTCAAAAACGACAGGTCCTATTAATATCGAGGTTTCCGAGAACAAAGAGAGAAGCTCGGAGGTGTGTGCCCGTCTCAACTATACCGTGCTGTCGCCTTAGACGGTATTTCGCTATACTTGCACGCGGCTCTCCGCATAGGCTTCCAGTGTGTATTTATCCAGCATTTACTACATGTACCATTGAATGTGGGCTTATATTATGTCTGCCTGGTTATAATAGTCTTGGCAGTATTATTGTAATACATGTACAGTACATTGTATTGCTGTGTGTTTTGCTCACTAGAGCTCATTCGTACATACAGAGTATGTGTAACAGTACCATTCTAGAATTCTGGAACGCTGTAGTACAATTCTGAAATGGAGTTTACACATGTGAATAGAAAACATCTGATGATTTGATCGCTATATATTTTCATAGTTTGCATGCGAAGAGATAGTAGCCATTATTCGCCCTATATGTTTGCTGAGATAATGCAAGACGTAAAATGCAGTTCCTCGGTCATTTCCGAATTTTCTTTCTACAATATTAGGCCACTATGGTACGCTCCCAAGACCGCCAAGACCGCGCCGCTGAGACGCTCAACGAGGCCGACTTTCGTGCCTCCACTGCCGAGTTATTTGAGCGGGAGGAACGTCGCAAGGCAAAGGTCGCTCAAATCGTCGTACGCAGCCACAGAGACGACAGTGACAAAGGGGACAACTCCGGCGTGGGAACTTTGCCGTCCGTCTTTGACTTCTGCTTACAAGCTGAAGGGCCCGATGGGGTGCTCAAGCTCACCAACTTTGCGCCAGAGGAGTTCGACCATGTTTGGGCAGCTGTGTACCCTCATTTGCAGGGGAAATGAAACGTGGGCCGCGGTAAAAAATGCCGCTACGCTGCGCGCGACGTTTTCCTTATGACGCTGAGTTCGCTCAAACATCTTGGAAAATGGGACACCGTTGCTCGAGTTTTCAGAATCCCGCCATCCACCTTTCAGAAAATGATCTGCAAGTTTATGGATTTACTGTCTCCTATTCTCTACGAAATGTACGTAGAGAAAGCGAATGACCAGTGGACACTGGGGAAGATTGTACGATCAGGGCATGCGTTTAAGTACTTCCCGTATGCTCGATATGCTACGGACGTTACCTTTCAGCATGCTAACAAACCCAGCGGTAACATGAGCGAGATCTTACGCTATTACAGTGGCAAACACCACTTGTATGGCTACAAAGTGGAGGTGTCGGTGCTGCCGAACGGTGTTGCGATTAATTGCACGGAGCACACCGGTGGGAGCACGCATGACGCTGAGATTTTTCGCAGGAACGCAGCATTTCATTCGCGAGCTCTTCACAAACACTCTAGTGATGCCAATGTGCGAGACGAAGGGAGACTGCAAGACAAGTATCCGAAAGAATGGGCGGTGTTAGTCGATAAGGGCTACCAGGGTATGGCGCGTGAGTACCGAGCAATTCACCCCATTAAAAGCGGGCGTCTGCAGCCGCTCTCGCTCGAAGACGCCAGCTTTAACGACGAGCTCGCGCATGACCGTGTCATTGTTGAGAATTTCTTCGGTAGATTGAAGTCTCTGTGGGGAATTTGTTCCGACAAGTGGAAGTTTGACGAGACCTCTTACGACCTATACTTTCGGGCTTGTGTCGCTCTTACAAATGTCAATATTCGATTGAGGCCTCTTCGGAACGATGACGGAGATGACAACACCAAGTACGACACTCGTTTGCGCGAAATTGGAGCAAGTACACTCGAGAGGCAAACAAGAAAGCGGAAGCGCTATCAAGCCAATCGACAGGCAAGGCTTCGTACGGCATACCGTCGGCGGACTAGTCTCTCATGCTCGATTTATATGGGAGCTGGCGAAGACTGTAGCGACGACGATACACAGCTGTGATATTGTCACCTATAAAAGCAAGATACGGAGTAGTATTTGTGAAGTTAGTACGAGTCAGCGTAATTATTGGAGCATTCGTTCCGATAGACTACCATATTCGTTAAGTGCAGATCAAAGCCAAAAACTACCTTGAATCTAACGATATACCAATCCAAAATACGAATTTACTACGAATTTGAGAAATTGTACAGTATTCTGTCATATTCCAAGTAAGTAATTTTGAGCCCTACTGTGAGCTGTGAAAGTGACGCTACATACAACTGTTGAGTCAGCTGTATTTACATTCCGATGTTAACGGGACACACACCCGTAATCAACAACTACTGTACACCTGTACAGTATTACATGTAATAAATCAATGCAGCATTCGTCTCCTCGACATGACAAGATTACTCTTGTTCAGCCTAAACTTCCGGAGTGAACGAGAGAGATCTACTCGCCACGTTCACAATATACATCAGACGCCGTGGTACTTGTTCATTTTCCAATTTCCTCGACAACGAGAAGAGCTACTAGCGCCCAGGACTGGACTCCAACTATGACCCGTGCACGTCTCGCTTCTGCTGCGATCGCCCTGGTGATTTTGCAGCTCAAACCGGTCATGGGATCTTCGCTACAAGATGACCCTGTAACTATTTGCTCCTCTTACGATCTCGGCGATAAGAACTTTCCTGGCCGTGGTACCGAGATTGAAGATAACGACAACTGCGTTGTCATTAAAAATGGGCGCTCGACGAAGGTAAAGAGCCGCAAGCTAGAGACCGCATTGGGTGGCGATATCAAGAAGCTAGAAGATTTCTTTGGCTCCAAGATGGAGATGAAGCTGAGCAATCTGCCCTCCTCAGCTACGTACAGCCCGTCGCCGTGGAACAGCCTGTTATGGCACACATACAATGATAGTATTAACTATCAGTGGAACGAGGGCCAGCCGAGTGCAACCGAGAAGTACGCGACGGCTTTCGGTCTCGATGTGAAGACTCTAATGGACAGCGTCTCCATCAGCAGTGGCGTTGACTCCATGAACTACAGCATCGTGTGCACATCGGACAGCGACTGCGATACTCCATGGGAGCATTGCGGTATTCGTGCGGAGGCGAGTTCAGGCTACTGCATCGACGCAGCGTACGGCTTGAGCCACGCGTGGGCGCCAGCTTCAGTTCTGGAGAAGGAGCCCAAATGTCCCGTGACATTCAGTGGCGTGACGTTCGAGCCCTTGGACATTAAAGCGCTGCTGATGGGAATTTACGACACCGCAAGCATTCCCACCGTATTTACAGGTGTCCGTTACAGTGGCGGGAACTTCTCGGTCGACAACCATGGTAGGAATGAGGATCCTGCGTACCGTGACCTGAACCCCGGATTTTTCCACATCGCTGCTACCAACATTCTTGGCAAGCATAAAGCCACCTTCATCGTCGACCGATACGCTAGCTACGAGGTGTGGAGCCAGCCCGTCGATGGCTTCACAGTGCATGAACAGAAGGTTATGACTCCGGAAGAAGCCGCTCAGACTTTCTATCGTCTCCAGACTTATCCGTGGAACGAGGCCGCCAAGAGTATTGTGCATGTCAAATCGAGTCTGTCGTGGAGCAATGCGACGTTTGCTGGTCGTCGCTCTGAGGTTGACGAGCAGACCGGCACCGGAGCGGATTACGAGTATCTTTTGGAAATGGACGACGTCGATCAGATCATAGGCGGTGAGTGGCTGAACAAGACGAACGACGAGCACCCAGATTTTCTTTGGTTCCCTGAACGGAAGCCAGCTCTGGACACCGTGACGGACACGGGCTTGAGTTACGCCAATGTGGTGATGCTGTTGGAGAAATCCGCAGCATGCTTCAACGCAACCGTTATGGTTAAGGCGCTTGCATGCACCAATTAGACCCAGGCGTATCTGTTGGCATCTCTCTATCCCGAAAAAGATTCAAAGACGCGTAGGAGTAAGCCCGTACGGTTTCGTACTTTAAAGAAGCATCGATGCACGTGCAGCTTCGACTACCGCAGCAGCTCCGATCAATGTAAAACTTGGAAGTGGTCGTGCAGTTTTTCTCCCCTTGCCTACTCTTTTTTATCCCTTCTTGATGTTGCGCTGGTGTCTTCTAATGCTCGCTAGTTAATTGCGCTGTGCCCATATCATGGTATGACTTTGCAATGCTGCTTGCTGCCCTTCGTTTATTTATGAATACGTGCACCCCGGACGCGCGCAGCTCCAGCCTCGTAGCATTGACATCACCACCTCGGCGACTACCTTGATAATTTACGTGCCTCAGAGGACGATCGCGATGGACGTGCATTTTAGCGAACGAGTAGCCCCAGCTTGCAGGGTACACCCACCGTCTTCAATGTGTATCCATGTGGTGTCTCCGCCAATCATCTAGCAAACCCCGTCAAAGATGAAAAATCAGACGATAGACGGTCGCAGATCCTGCACCCAGATTGCCATTCTCCGATCATCATCCGAAGAGCATGTCGCCGCATTGCCTCTCGCTGCTCGTGGCATTTGGCGTGTCCTTCACGGCCGCCGTGGAGGTCAGCGTGTGCCGCGATGCCACATATGACATCTCAGTGGATGCTACATCACTGTGTTCGGGTTCAGGCGCGGCACCGGCGGGTTGGAGCTGTCCGAAAGCGGGCGATGTGGCAGTGGCCGACTGCCTCTCGACTCTCGCATCACATGGAAGCGGGACCTGCGTGGCGCCCGAAGATGCCGTGTGTCAGGTAGTCAATGGAGATACGTGGGGCTGCGTGCTACCCTCTGTGGGCTGCAACACGCCAGTCGTGGCGGATAGCGCCTGCGAGACATGGGACTACAGCGGTGACGACACGGTGGACAGCTCCGGGTCTTTCGACGGCAATGAGGACTACGATGAGACCTGGTTCATGAAGACGACGGAGCTGAGGGAGCTCTATGATTGCAGCAAGAAGCCCACGCCAGCACCAACGACACCATGTCCAACCCCTGCCGCGACGGAGACCAACACGACAGAGGCGCCGACCGCGACCACAGCGCCGGCACCTACGGATAGTAGCGATACCGATCCAGTAACGTTAGCCCCTACACCTACGGTGACACCGATACCAATGCCTACGGAGGTCAATGGATCTTCTAGCGACGTAATGAGCGACGGAGTGGCACAAAACAGAGAAACAGAAGTAGGAGACGAAGAGAGTGCAGCTGGAACCCACACCGTAGTGGCTTTCGCTGCTGCAGATGCTGTGAGCTTTGGGGGACTGAGTAACGAGGTGGTGGCAGTGATTGCAGCGGTGGCGGCTTTTGTTGCTGTCATTGTGGCTGCTGTCGCCATTGTTTACGCCAGTAAGAGGCACGCGAAGGAGGATGTGGAGGAGGGCGGAGAGAAAGATGAATCTTCGGACGAAGGTGAAGAGAAGGAGGGGGACGTGGGTGAAGACGCTGAGGATGAGGCAGAATCCACCACGTATCCGGTGGCCCCTCCGACACCCGCGGTGGTGATGGGTGAAATGGCGACGACACCAGTCGCGGCATCGGCGAAGGCGAAGGCGACCTCTCCTGTGACGACTCCAGCAGTGACAAGCTCACCGGAGGCGACGGTGGAGACATCGTCTGATCATGTATCTGAGAGTACAGACGGCGACAAGGCCACTGAGACCTCTGACACACCCTCATCCCAGGAGACGATTGCTAAGGACGATTGATATCTATGTGAACGTATTCATGGCAACGACCCGAGTCAATAGTGTTTCCTAGCTCTATTTGAGACTGCGTAAAACAAACTGATACTATTGTTACTGGCGGAAAGCAATTAGTCGCTTAACCCTTTTAGGACCGAAGCCTTAGCGACATACCGGTAGTATCTGGGCTCCATTATTTATCAGGAATCCTTCTTTAGCATAAATAAGGACTTGGGCAGCTACACTGTAGTGCGAACACATATTAAATACACAATGGCATGCACAATGATCAAACAATAAATAAGAGCATAATGTAGAGCGTTTCAGCATCATTTTAAAAAATGCACAACCTGTCGAAATCACACCGTTTCCGTGCAGTAATGACTCCCTTTTGGGTACTTTGTCCGAAATGAAGAGTGAGCGCCCCAGCGACTTGTGATGCTTAGCGTTTTGCAAGTTAATTTCCACTGAAAATGCCGTGGTTTGCCGCGAATTGCATAATAATAAAGAAATCTTTTCATAAATTATGGTAGATTGGCTTTTAGCAAATAAACAAATAAAACTTATTGCATTTGTGAAGTCGACGAAATAAATATATTTATGATTTCATAATAAGTTATTGCCAAGATCTTGCCATAATCGGGACCGGCTTCGAATTCGACGTTGCAAGCGCGCTAGCGGTATGTTTTGCGAACCCAACCAGGGATGCAGTGGCAGGTATAAGCGCGAAGTGGTCACGAGGCTCGAGCTGAGGGGCATTGCTAATACCGAGAGCCCCACCTAAACGAAATAAGAGTAGGTGCCCGCAGTAATTGTCTAAGATCGTGTCATTCAGCGCCACACTGGCTGACTGCTAGCCACTCACATGGCACAACACGTAAGAGCATCTACGAATCGCAGCTTCCTATTATACTACATGATAATGAACGGGCTGCAGAATTCATTCGAAAGAAAGCCGTGAAACGAGGTTACCATGGCCAACCGGCTTGCTATTCTTTTTGATACAATTAATGTAGAATGAAACTGTTTGATCGCCAAGCGTTACCGTACTGTACTTCGAAAGTTTCCGCTGATATCATCGAAAGAAAACTCGTAAGAATTGTGTGGTGGCCTGACCATGGATTTTACGGAACGGGTACAGTAGGCAACGCAATTAGTGTCAGTTCAGAATTAGCGTCATACGGGCAAAAGTGTCACTCTAATTTTCGCGTGCACAGTAACAAACAGATTGAGAACTATAATAGTGTCACTGAGCTGACCCTTCTAATCTGGTGGAGTGGGCTTGAGTCCGTCTTCGACGAATATATCGAGCAAGGGATAGCTGGACGAATAAAACGCTGGAGGTAAGTCTGAGCGACAGCGGCACCAGAATCGATATTGACTCAAATTTAACCTCTCATAAATTAGAGTCAGCTCAAATGTAGCGAAACAATCATAGGCAAACCTCACACAAATTTGCGATAGCACCTCACGGTGAGTACTGTACGGCAGGAATGAATACAGATGAGCCCTTCGGTACTCTTGGAATACCTTCTGTTAGGAATAAAAATCGGGTCCAGGGAAAATCTGGAAAACAAAAATGGAAGTTCCGTATTTGTGCCGATACCGGTACCGGTATCAGAAGAGACCAAGTACTGGTTTTGTTCGGTTTCTACATCCACAAGAAATCCACTCGATTGTTTCAGAGGCTCAGAGATTGAGCCCTTTTTGATAGACGATCGCTCCAGCTGCAAATGCCACAACATCACACTTACAAGTTAATCAAGCCTTGGCTTTTGTGGAGTTCATTGCCACCCCCAACCGATATTAAATAGTACGCAGAGCAGGATGACCTGCAACTTGCAACATGCAGGTCATCCTGCAGTGCGCGGCATTATGTGGCGTGCTGAACACTTTGTGCCAGATGCCGAATTGTCACCTGCAGCAAAATTTGGCCCCAGAGTGGTATATGTGGCGATCGCCACTCGAAACCTCAAGGATTGGTCCGTCTATCCCAATTGTCGGCCGTTTATCGCAAATCCGGCTCCTCATTTCAGCATTTACCGCTTCCTGCAGTGTGTCGATTGAAAACGGCCACCTTCGCTCTGCGCGGTACATACATCAACAGGATTACAGGCCAACAGGATAAGGATGTTACGTACACTTCCGCTGCTGTTTGCAGTGTTAAGCGCGTCGACCAGCGCCTCCGTGGATGTGAGCATATGTCGCGACGCCACGTTCAGCCTTTCGATCGATGCATCGACGCTGTGCGCGGGCTCTGGCTCCGTGCCCGCAGGCTTTAGCTGCCCCAAGGCGGGTGACGTGGCCGTGGCTGACTGCCACTCGTACCTCCCGTCGTTCTTGGATGGAAGCTGCGTCGCCCCTGAGGACGCTGTGTGCCAACTCGTGAACGGCGACACGTGGGGCTGCGTATTGCCCACTGTGGGCTGTGACGGTGTCGTGGAGTTCGAGCCCAAATGCGAGACCTGGGAATACGATGGAAACGACACCGTGGACCTGGACGGCTCTGGATCGTTCGACGGAAACGAGGACTACGACGAGAGCTGGTTCGTACAGACCACCGAGCTGCGCGACCTTTACAACTGTGGAGAGAGACCCACACCAGCACCCACGACGCCACAGGTGACGCCTGCCGCCACCACGCCCGCGCCCACGCCGGCCGCTACCACACCTTCGCCCACGCCGGCCGCTACCACACCTGCTCCCACGCCTGCCGCAACCACGACGGCTCCTAAAGCCACACCTGCGGCCACTACGACTGCCCCGAAGGCAACACCTGCATCTACAATCCCGTCACCGACCCCTGCGGCGACCAACACGACTGAGACGCCAACAGCGACGCCAGCGGCGACCAAAACGACGACGCCGACGGTCACTCCAGCAGCTACGACGATCGACGAAAGCTCTTCTAACAGTGGCTCCGAGGACGCAGAGGTCGGAGACGACGACACTGAGGTGGGCGACGATGACGGCACCACTTCGGACTCTTCGCCGGTCCAGCTCTCGGCTGGTGACGTTACGGGCACGGGGGGAATCAGTGCTGCTGCTATCGCCGGTGTGGCAGCAGCGGCCGCCGTCGTTGCGGTAGCTGCAATTGCCGCTGTGTACGCCAGGAAGAAACGCATGGCAAACCAGCAGGGTGACGCTGTGGCACGTCAACGCAGCGGAAGCCTCGAGTACGAGATGGTTTTGACGCCACCCAATGCGATCACGACGCCGGTCATGATTACGTCCCCCAGAAGTTAAGGAAGAACAGAGCGAGCTCATAGATGAGCCATCAAGACTACAGAAAGCTACGACCAACGTGTCCATTGACACTACGATGCGTAATGCAATTTTTCTAGCTGCATCAAGATGCAACAGACCAGAGGAAGCTGAAGAGAAAGAATCAAATACCATTATGTGTCTAAAATGACCTGTATAAAACAAAACTGTCTACTGCGTCGTAAAGGGGCTTGCGAATGTAGGAGGCGCGATGCCAACGATGTTGCCAAACTGTTCGCTAAACAAGTTCTCGGCCTCTGAGCCCAATTGCTGGCGAGCGGCACGACGTTTGAGCTTGCGCCACTGTTTGGCCTTCCGTCGAGCGGCCAGAGCTGTCTGCGGGTTCAGAGCGTCCTGTGCCAACTTGGCCGCCAGCTCCTGCGTTGACAGAGCAGCCTGGGGGAACGTGAAGTCTGCTCCATCGTCGACCATCTCCGTGTCGGATTCCATGTCCGAATCCGAGTCCGAGTCGCTATCGCCCAGCATTTGGCTCATGCGAGCGGAGGCGGGCAAAGGCTCAGTTGCCGTGGCATCGGGCCCCATCGTCACGTCGCCACTACTGGTAGAAGCCACGGGAATGGAGCACTGCGGACCGCTAATAGCGCCCTTGGAAGCGTCAGCGTCTGGCAGGAAGATGCTCGTCGGGTTCAAATCCTCGTCGGCGACGTTAAATTCCTGTCCGAACGACGTCACCAGCTGCGTGTCCAGCACCTGAACGCTCTGGTCCGGAGGCGGAGTGAAGTATGGCAGTTTGCCTCGGTTCCAGTCCTGCAGCACAATGCGAGCAGCCGCCTGACGGTCGGGGATTCCTCCCTTGCCCAGTTTTCCCTTGGACTGCGCCACAAGCACCAAAAACTGAACCGCATCCTGGAAACACTTGGAGACTGTGTCCACTGGCAATTGGTAAAGCTCTGCCAGTTGTTCCGGCTGGCAGCGCGTCAGCAAAACTTGCACTGCTCCAACGGGATCCGCCATCGATTCCGTGTTGATGCAGTTACGCAGTAGCAGCGCGCTCGAGTCCGAGTGGTCGAACACGATACCGGGGCAGTCCAGCAACTTGATCTTACTATCGATATGCACCTCCTGCATGACCTTAGTGTGCCCTGCTGTGCTTGACACACTAGCGGCCTTGCTACGTTTGAGCGAGTTAATCACTGAGCTCTTGCCAACATTAGGATATCCAATAACTCCAACCGTAATCGCCGTCTTGACACCGTGACTGCGGCAGTAGTTCTTGAGCAGCTGCATGAGCGCGTCTGTGCCTACGGCTTTGCTGCCACTGACAGCCTCACCCGCCGCTTTGTCTGCCCGTCCAAAGTTGGCACTGAGGTGTTTGGACTGATTCTGTGTGGATGCCTTGAAGGCCACAGTGGGGTAGAAGCCCCGCAAATATTTGAGCCAAGGCTGCAGCACATGCGGAGGCACCAGATCCACTTTGTTGAGCACAAGTACCAGCTTCTTGCCGTGGCGATTACCGATAGCGTCTTCCATGTCGAGCGTACGGCAGCCCATGGGGTCGCGGGCGTCAAGCACCTCGAGGATGACGTCGGCCTTGTCAACCACCTTCCGAAGCTCCTTCATGTATGCGCGGCGACTTGCATCGTTAATGACCAGCTCATCTTGTGTCTGATTCTGTGTCTGCTGGGTCTGATTATGTTCAAACTGCTGCGAACTCTGGGCAGCACGACCCGCCAGCTCTGCTAGACTCCCGGAGATGACCCCGCGGTTGCGTCCGACCTGCTGGCTGCGAAGCTGCTCGCGTTTTTGTTGCAGCTTCTGAGCGTTCTGCTGTTTACCCACAATCTTCTTGGGAGCTGTACGGTTCTGCTGGCCAATTTGGCTCTTTCCACCACGAAGAGCCTGTGCTGCGATGCCCTGACGCTTGGCGCCGCGACCGCGCGGAGGAGGCTGCTTGCGACCCATGTTGAAAATGCCAATAGCGGTAGTGACGGCTGGAGGAGAGCATAACGCTCTTTTTGACCAGTGAGAAGACGAGAGCTGTCAGAGTAAAAGTGGTGTGGCTAATCGAGTTTGAAAGGTGTGTCCATTGAAGATCTTTTCACTGCCGTTCGTTACGTGTAAGACGCAACACGACCGTAGGCGAAACACGATAGTGGTGGTTAACGCGAACGCTGCTCCCGCGCTGTATAAATAAAGCTAAGGGCGTCGCTGGAATCCAAGCTGGATATTTACCATATATTTGATAAGTGATGACCATCACTTCTCGTCACCTGCTAGCGACGAGTGGTGTCGATTGTATAAGACAGTGAAGCCAAGCACGAGCCGCTGCGCCTAAAAATACGCGCTTGAAGCGCACAAAGATCACGAGCCGCAACGTCACCTCTGCTTGGGCGTTTGGGCCTCAAATTGAGGAGGAATTCTTGTCAGCAGATTGCAAGCCGCCTCTCTCAACGTCGAGTCCTACCTGCGTATTTCTCAATGACAATGTTGGATTCTGTGGTGCCACCCAAGCTGCCCATCAGTGAGATTGAAGTGACTCGTACACCGAAAGTGATGCGGTTGGCCAAAATGGTGTACGATGAGCGCTCTCCACGCTTTCTGCGCCACCTTCAAGCGCTCGGCCACCCAAGCAAGAGCACTTGGACAACCGCCGAGCGTATCTGCTCCGAAATGACAGCCACCGAAATGGATTACGTATCGGACATCACAGCTCTTGTGGACCGCTTTCTTGATCCTCTAGCTGCTTTCGCTGACAAGCATTGTACGACGAAAGAGGAGCTTCCAGCGTTTACAGCCCTTCACTGCGCTGCTCACGTTATCCTTGGGGTCCACAAAGAGCTTCTCAAGCTCATGGAGCCGCCTCAGCAGCGTCGCTTTTTCACTTTCGCGAACAATTCTGGATCTGGTCCACTGGAAGCCGTGACGCGCGTTACAACAGCGTTCGCTTCCACGATCGAGTACATGAAGGTGTACGCTATTTACTGCGCCAATTACTTGCCTGCCACGGAAGAACTGAAGGCTCACACTAAACTCCTCGATGCCTTCACGCTGTCTCAACTTGATCCGGACAGCAGCGAAACGTTTGATGCAGTATCTGACCTCATTAAGCCCGTGCAACGGATCTGCCGATACTCGCTGCTTTTTCGCTCACTTGTGAAGAATGCCACATGTCCCGATGAAGTAGAACTAGCGGAGGAGGCGCTGGAGAGCGTTCAGCGCGTCTCGGATCTAGTCAACGCTCGTGTCCGTGACGCCGAGAACAACGTCCGCTTGTTGTCTATCAGCGACAGTATCGACAACGCCAAGCTTTCCTCCAAACTCGAGCTGCTGCGGCCGGGTCGTAAATTTCTGTGTGAAATGCCCGCTGCAGTGCAGGTGATGGATCGACGCGCACGTTTAGCCCGCGTGCTCCACTTGCGTTCTGCAAGGTTCGATCCGAACCGTTCGTCTCTGCAGCACTGCGATACGTTTGGTGTGAACAGCGAGATGGAACTACTTGAAGGCAACAGCGAGAACGAACGAGAGGAGTCTGCATTGAGAGACAGTCTCACCTCCAATGGACAAGAGCGCAACAAAGACCGACAACGAGTAATTCTGCTGTCAGATGCGCTGCTGATTGCCCGAAGAAGTAACTTTTATCTACGGGTTCGTCGACACATTTGTCTTTCGTGTGCTACGGTGGTTGAAGCTCACGAGGCTGATGGCGACGATGACGAATCGGGTGCGAGCTCAAAATCCTTCGCTCTTTTGGCATCGAAGAGCGGGCGTTGCAATTGCCACAACTTGAGTCCGAGCACGCTTAAGAGGCCGGTTAAAAGACGCTACTCCCTTTCAAGAAGCACCTCACAGATGACTGTCGAAGGCGATGCTCTGGAAACTCCGTCGCCGGCATCGCAGCCTCCACCAAGACTGCACCGTAACGCTCGGCAGTACATTGTGCACTGCGAGAGTGAGCAAAAGAAAAAGGAATTCATCAAACTGCTTCGAAAAGCCATCGCACTAAACGCTCGCTCGGGAGAGCCACCACGCTCTTGCGTCAGTATCGCAGCTACGAATTTGTCCGTAAAGCTGTGGCAGTCTATCAAGCAGCGAGACTTCTCGCATACATTCTCCTTGGGCTACGGCAGCTTACTGCGCCGCCAAGCAAATACCGACTGCCATGAAGCGGTGAACGCAAGCACATACGAGTCCAATTCGGACGAACCAATTCACCATAACGAGCGTCTCCTTCGATCCTCTCGGTCGGCACCGTCAGGAGCTGCATAGCATAGCAGTACACGGTATACTACATGCACTGTAGTAGAACTATGTAGTCGTCCCATTTTCGTTTATTACAGGAAGATGGGGCAAAAGAAATCTTATTTGTCTATATGCACGTTCCTACAAGTGTATCTACACTGAGGTCTGCGATGGAGTTCATCTTCAGCCTCACTTTATCAAAAATGAATAGTTGGCCTTCTCCGTCTCACGAGGTCGCGGTTGAGTGGAATTCATACTTAGTGGGGGGTCACAGACTCCTTGGCGGGCGTCGGCTGAGCCACCTTCGGCTCGGTCATTTCTTTCTTCACCGAGACGGGGGCAGCTGCTGGTTCTTCAACAACAGTCTTAGGCTGGTCAATACCCGAGTCTTCCGCCTCAGCACCGTCCTCTGACGTGGTGCTGCCGTCCGATTCGTTCTCCACGTTGGCTTCCGTCTGGTTGTCCACAACGACAGCGGCGACTGGCTCGACGGGCTCCTTGACGACAGCAACGGCCTGATCAGCAACAGCCGGTTCCTCCGCGGGCTCCTTGACCTTCTCCTCAGCCTCCTCGCCGAGCTTGCCATCAGTGGCGACTCCCTCTTCAATCGCAACCGTAGTAGGCTCCTCCTCTTCACCTGCCGCGTTCGCAGCAGTAACCTCCTTGCTTTTAGTGTCAATGGCCGCTTCCGTCTCGACAGGCTCGTCGACCGAATTCACAGGCTCGGCAACTGCAGCGATATCTTCGACAGGCTCCACGCCCGCATCCTCAGTAGATTGAGCGACCACAGCCGACGCAGTATCAGCAATATCGCCCACTTCGACCGTCTCAAAGTTGGCAGGTTCCTCCTTTTCGATGGCGCTCGCTTGATCAGCCTCAACGCTGAGCGATTCAGTTGCCGCAACTGACGCTGGCTCGGCCTCAGCTACTTCCTCCTCTACGGACTCAGCAGTCTCCACTTCGACGATGGGCTCCACCTCAGATGTGTCGATGGTACCGGTCTTTACCTCTGTAGAAGGCTCAGTCGCGGTAGTAGCCTTGCTCTCACCAGGTTCATTCACTTGTTCAGCGTCGGTTTCCGTCTCGTTTGGCTCCTCCTTGACAGCGCCAACTGCAGTGTCTTCAGGCACCACACTCGCCTCCTCCTTAACATCATCAGATGCGTCGATCGCGGTTGGAGCAGCCTCCGTCTCGACAGGCTTCTCCACTGCGCTCTCGGTGTCAGCAACGTCTGCCACAACTGCATCCTGGACGGGTTCAGCTGCCTTCTCTTCTGCGACGTCTTCAGCGACATTGATGTGGGTTGTCTCCACAAAAGCGGTCACCTCCTTGACGGGTTCAACAACTTCCTTGATGGGTTCAGCAACTTCCTTGACGGGCTCCTCGACAACAATGACGGGCGCTTCCACGCTAATCGGCTCCCTGTCAGCCACAGGTTCTTCAACAATTTTCTCCTCAGCAACGTCAACGGGAGTTACAGCCTGGTCATTATTACTCGCCTCTTCGACGACCACAGGAGCGACAGACTCCTTAGTATCAGCGGCGGCTTCCTCCACAACCTCAGCCGAGTTCTCCGCGTTCGAAGCAGCAGCAACAGGCTCCGGAGCAATGTCCTCGCTCTTGCTCTCAGCCGGATCCTTTACATCTTCGGTGGTCGCAACAGGTTCCTCGGTAGTCGCAGCTGGCTCTTCCGCTTTCTCAGCAATCGCATCGGCAACCGTTTCGTCGTCCTCGACAACCTCGTCACCCGCAGGCTCCTCCTTCACCTGAGGCACGACGGCAGCCGTCTCCACGACCGGTTCAGCCACGGCTTCTTCCTTCTCAGCCTCCTGAACTGGCTCCACAGTCTCCTCCTCAGTCTTGGCTACAGTCTCCTCGGCAACAGCGTCCACGACCTTGGGCAGCTCAATCTCCACGACGGCAGATTCAACGGCCGACTCAGCGGATTGCTCGGCTACAGGCTCCTCGACGTCCAGCTCAGTCTCGACCTCCTTCTGCTCCACCTCGGGTGCCTTCTCGGAGGCCACAGCCGCCCTGGTAGACGCCACGTTGGGCTCCGTCGAGACACTTGTAGGCGCGCTCACTGTCGGGTCGATGAACGAAATGTTGAAGGACGAGAAGTTGGCGCGCACACTATCGGGAACGTCAACGGCAGTCGAACTGGGCGCCTGTTCGGTAGCAGGCGGCGCGCGCGTGTCGATCACGGGCGCGACGGGCTCCAACGTCTTGGGGGCTTCATCCACGTGGTCGTCCTCCTCCGTCTTGGGCTGTTTCTCGTCGACTTTTGGGGACTCATTTGCCTTCAGCTCTACAGCCACAGACTCGTTCTTCTTCGGACTGGCGACTGGAGCTGCCGAGGCATCGGCGGTGGGGTTGGCTACGTCGGCGGGCTTGGACTGGCTGCACCCCATGGCGGACTATCAATCTATCTGTCGATCTGCTCACAAGGCTGCTGTTCTCGTTGTGAAAAAGCGACCGCCTTTGGCGCTGGCTCACGAAAGCAAGCGACGTGACGAAAGAAAAGTGCATGTAGCATTGGCTCGTTTGACAAACCTCTAATCGAAGGTATTATAAATTGATGAGGGAAATACAGAAGAAGAGAGATTTCAAATCCAGTTAATTAAACAGCTGTTAAAGACGCTGATATCGATATAGACAGGCATCGGCATACAGAGACCCCCGGGTTGCAGATGGATACATGCTGGGAAAGCGCTGCTGCTTCAATATCAATTGCATTTTTCTCATGGCTTCGCTGATACCCGCGCGCCACGCGCCGCCGGCGCCAAAATTTCTATCACTGCGGCTGTGCAAATGGCAATTTGCTACATGCTTATTAAAACACAGGCTGTGTTACACAGCGGTGTCTTTCGAGCATTAATGCGTGTATTGTAGAAATTAAAAGGACCGGTATTCTTTTTTCATCGGACTACCCTATTGCATGTGGTATGGCTCGGAAATCCTCTGCCGCAGCGAAACGGCAGGCGGTTTAGATTAGCGGCTAATCATTCGCCCAAACTCAAGTACATGTATACATATGTACAGGGGGAAAAAGATAGCCTGTACATGTATATCGCCGCTCCTAACGTGGGAAAAAGATAGCCTATCTGATTGGTAGTAATTTGAGTGAACGAGACACTTTCATTGGACAGCCGTACGTCCCAAAATACTGTACTGACTATTAGTATGATATTAATAGTTCCTGCTTGACCTTTCAAATTTTCAAATTTTTCGTAAAACAATGCTTTAAAATGTAAATAATGTCATGCGAAAGTCGACAATAAAGGTCGTAAGGTTCTACCTGAGTCGAACCTCTTCACCTGCATTGATTGAGTTCAAATGTCGTAGCTATCTATACTATATACAAAGCGTTTCTTCTCATGCACACACTTATTATAGCGGCAGAAAATGAAGGGGCTAGTAATCAAATCCCCATGGGGGGCTCAATTTTGATAAAACCAGATATGACATTTAGATATGTGATAAAACCGCCCATTTTGAGTATGATTTTGGTGTTAAAACCGGCTAATTCGCAGTAGTTTTGTCGCTACAGGCTCCCCAAAAAGGTGTCTCCAAGGAACTTTAAACGGGGAAACAGTTGCTATAATGCTGATATTCTATTGGTCAAGAGTGTGGAAAGGGCAAAACAGTTGTACAAACAGGCGTTAAAAATAAAACGTTCAAATGAAGCTCATGAGGAAGATGGTGGGTAATCACTCTTTAAATATATACAAATCCTTCTTTTTAAATGTGGATGGTACATTCTACTAGCGAAAGCATAAAATTGTAAGATTTTCATATGATATCACAACAGAGCAGTTTTAACCCTACATGGGCCAAAACGACAAGCGCACCTCGGCGAAATTGGTGTCTGGGTCGAGGTTCCATGCCCAGAGCACCCGAAAAACTGTGCTTTTCCCAAGGCGCGTCGCCTCTTTAGTTCGATCGCGCGAGTCCCACCCTCCACTTCTGCCTGCTTTGGCCTCGGCGACGAAATAACCATATACATTGCAAACTAGGGTTTTCTCGCCCGGACTGAGCTGGTGTCTGCGTTGCACTGCGCTTCCTGAAATGAAAGAGATGAAGAGTCTTAATTTATGGAAGAAGGAACTACGAAACCTCAGCTTTCTATCCGCGCCCTTTGCACTTAATTTAAGGCTATTTTGGTGAAGTTATCGCCGATTATCCAAAGAAGATAATAATTTATTTCGGATTAGCTAGCCCCATCATTTTCTGCCGCTATAATAGTTGGCAATGAACTGCTGGAAGACGGCACACTCATGAAGCTCTTCGTGCTGCGAGATGTAGTAAAGGAATTCACCGAACGCCTTCTCGCGCATCTCGATCGTCTTTTTGCTACGTCGGCCTCTCAGAAACGTCCCCACCGTTGGCTTGGGCAGCTCGGGCATGTCGTGTGTAGCCGGGATATTCAAAGCTCGGAGTCGTTCGGCTAGTAGCTTGAACTCCGAGTAGCGCTTGGGGATCGACATGGATTGCTCTCCGGTCGCGCTGTTGACTGTGTAGATGTGATACATGATGACGCTGTTGGCCCGTGTGACGCCCAGAATCTCGTACGTCAAGTGCTCGTGGGGAAGAAGATGGTTGGAATCGCGCTCAGGTGTGTTCTGCGCTGCTGTGGCATCATCTTCGACTACTTTGGTCGTCAGACTCGTGGGTGCCGTCTCCACTGTAGCCTTCGCGGTGTCTTCGTTCGTCACCGCGGTATTTTCTGCCTGCACGGTGGGGGGTTGGGGGGAGATGGAAGACATCTTTCTCTCCGTCGACGTAGGCTCTTCGTTCGGGTTGTCAGCTGGCGATTCCTTGGACTCTTCGAGAGTGGCGTGCGTCTCCTTCGTCGCAGACGCCAAGTCGCTCGTGTCGTCTTCAAGTTCGTTGTTGGTATCAGGCTGTTCGGTCGAGACAGGCTCTTCCTTGACCATCTCGAAGGCTTCGACTGCCTCGTTGGTAGTGAAGTCAGCAGTGGCCACAGCAGCGTCGTCAGTCTCAGCTGCTGTCTCCTCAGCGTCCGAAGGCGTACTGTCAGCTTCGTCGTCTCTTAGTTTGTTGTCTTCCGGAGTTTCCATCGACAGGATCGACGTCTCGGCAGCTTCGTAGGTCGTTGTGATCGTCTGCGTTTCGCGAGTCGAATCGGACGCAGCATCGTCGACATATTCAACTGCATTCTCGTCGGCGGCCGGCGGTTCTTCAGCAGCTTCAGCTTCTCCAACTTCTTCTTCTGCGGTCTCCACCTCCACCGCTTTGGGTTCTTGCTCAGCAATAGCCGTCTCCACTTCAGCTTCCACGGCAGGAGACTCCACGTCTGCCGGCTTCTCTTCAATGTGTGACATCGCCGACTCATCTGCAGCAACGGAGCCTTCCTCTCCTTCAATCTCTTCGGTGACAGCGTCAGCCTCGACTTTGGCGTTAGGAGTGGTCTTCTGGTCTTCGGCCTCAGCACCTGGGGCTTCGTCCACAGCAGTCTCGCCAGCATTCTCTGCGTCATCGGCTTCCAAGGTTTCCACCTCCTCGACTTTCTCTCCGGCTGCGCCAGCCTCCTCTTCGACAGCAGCAGGAGTTTCGGCAGCGGTGGCAGCTTTGGATGCCTCGTCAGTTGTCTCTTCAGCCTTGGTCTCTTGCTCTTCTGCCACCACTTCCGTCTCTGCTTCCTCCTTGATCGGATCAACGTGGGCTGGCTCTTCAACAGACGTATCGACGGCCTTAACCACATCTCCACGGGGACGACTCGTAGGTGGCGATGAGAGCGGTGACGAAACTCGGGATGACGCTCGAGAAGAAGAGCGCGAGTTGGCAGCTTCCTCTGCCTTGTGCTTGGCAAACTGCTCAAAGCGGCCGATGAGCATGGACACCGCACTGATTGGCTTCGTGTCCACCTCAAACTCTGCCTCCGCCACGTTCTCGCTAACTGGTGGCGAGGTGGTTGGCATCTCTTCAATCACAGCAGCAGACGGTGTCTCAACAGGCTTAGACTCGGCGGGTTCGACGGCAGCTGCAGCAACTTTGACAGCCTCCACCAGAGTGGCAGCAGGAGTTTCTTCAGCAGCCTCTTCAACGCCCTCTTTAGCCTCCTCAGTCACAGCTTCATAGTCGGCAGCTGGCTCGACATCGACGCTTGTCTGCTCTTTAGGCCCATCTTGGGCCGGCTCGGCAACAGCTTCCGTCGTGGAAGTGGAAGTAGGCTCAATCCCTTCCACTGCTTCGGCGAATTCGTCAGTGCTAGCTTCAGTTTCTGTCGCTGTAGCGACGGGCTCAACCTCGATATTCTCCTCCTCTGTACTTGGCTTCGCAGCGTCGTCTTGATCAACAACCGCCTGATCCGCTACCTCATCGGCCTCCACGTTGACGGTCTCAGTTTTGACGTTAGCAACTTCTTGCTCGGTCACATTCTCTGTATCAACGGCAACACCGTCGGCCTCCAAGCTCTCGGTCTCAACGCCTGGCTTATCATTCAGTTCTTGCTCGACAACACTCTCTGTTTCCTCATCCTTCTGGATCTTCCTGGCAGCGTCTTCCTTCGAGGCCTTGGCCTCCGGTTCAGCTGCAACCTCCTCAACAACCTCGCCGACGACGTCATCAACCACAGCCTCAACTACCTCGACTGTCTCTTCAGCAGCCGGTTCAGACGTATCAACCTCCGTGGAAGCTTCTTCGGTCACCGCAGTGCTCTCCACGACGTCGTCCGCTGCAGACTCACTGTCGGCAACGACTTCCTTAGAAGTTTCCTCAGAGTCCGCAACTTCAGTCAAGTTATCGGCGGCCGAAGCTTCGTCCAGTTCGTCGGCATTACTCTCAGTGGGGAGTTCTAATTCAGTCGCAACCTCCTCCTTTTCAGCAACTGCGTTCGCGACGGTAACCTCGTCAACGACTGCCTCAGTCACGGTAGTCTCGACTGTGCTAAGAACGTCAGTCTCGGCAGGCTCGTCAACCGGACTCTCAGTCACTGCGCCGATATCTTCGACGGGATAGAGCTCCTTGTCGTCATCCTTAGCGGAATCACAGGCGTCCTCCACCACGGCCGACTCAGCATCGTCGACAATCTCAACGTCGGCAGCTTTCTCCAGTTCGGCGGCGCTCGCTTGAGTAGTTTCGGCCACAGACGCTGGTTCGGGCTCATCTACTTCTTCCTCGGTGGGCTTAGTCTCGGTAGTCTCGTTCTTTACCAGTTCAGCCACCTCATCCAAGGTTGTCTCCGTCTCAATTATCACCGCCCTTGCAGCGTCGTCGACCTTCACAGTAGCCTCTTCCTTCACTTCATAGGATGCTTCGGTCGGGGCTGGAGCAGCCTCCGTCTCGACAGACTCCTCGACAACATCCTCGGTGTCAGCAACGACAGCGCCATCATCGACAAGTCCAGACTTATCAGCTTCATCCTTAAGGGGTTCAGCTATCTCTTCCGCTGCAGTAGACTCAACCTCAGTATCATCAGCCACCTGTACAGTCTCGACCTGGACGGCGTCCTCGTCTTCGAGTGCCTCGGATTGAGTAGACGCCACGTCACGGGATTCAACGGAAGTCGACTCTGGCTCAGCTGCTGCCTTTTCTACAGCTTCAGCAACATCAACAGACTCTAGCTCAGCCTTCTCGACAGAGACGGTCGTCACCATCGAAGCTTCCTCTTCAGCAGGTTCTTCTCCCTCCTCATCCACAGCAGTCTCCGGCTCAGTTACATCGTCATTGACAAGCTCGGATGCAGCGTCTTCGATCGCCACGGAAACCTCCTCGTCAGAAGTTTCACCCACCCGCTCAGCAGGAACATCGTTGACGGCATCCGTCGCTGCAAAACTAGGCTCCGCGGCCACTTCGGCGTCAGTCTTGTCTTCGTTCTCCTGCTCCTTTACGGCATCAACGACGCTGTCATCCGTAGACTGCTCTGCACTGGTAACCTTCTCATTGCGCTCGACCTCCTGCTTGGTCTCCGCTGAGCTGTCAGTGTCGGACGATCCATCCGCTTCCTCGGTCGTCAACGTCTTCTGCTCATTCGACGCCTCCGTCTCCACGCTTCCAGTCTGACTCGCACCCGTTCGGTGCTCACTCTCCATAGCCGCCGTTTCCATCGTAGGCTTTTTGTCTATCGGAGTTTCTTGTAGAATGGCTGCAGAAACTTCCCGATCGGCGTCGGCCAAATCATCGAGGACAGGCTCATCTGCGACTTCAACCCCGTCGTTCGTTGCAGGGATGCATATATCCGTCTCAGCTGCGCGCTCCGAAGCAGGCTCAGCGGCGTCATCTTTGACTGCCTGGATGGGCTCGATCTTCGGCTTGGGAGCCAGCGCCGCCTTTTGGGTCGACTTGTTGCGGAACAGCAAGTTCTTGAGCCAGCCGCCGGAATTCGGGGCCTTGGGCGGTTCTTCTTTTGCTGCTGCTGCTGCGTTTGCTTCGCGCTGCTTTGCAAGGGCATTGGTCTCATCGCTCACAGTGGCACTTTCCTCACCATCCTCCACCACGTTCTCTGCAACAGTCTCGACAATGAATGGCTCCTGGTCGTCTCCAAGAGCGTTCTGCGGGGCAGCTTCCACCTCACCCGGCACCTCGGCAGCAACGTCCTCATTCTTCTCCACCGGTTCGGCGTCAACTTCCTCGGCAATCGGCTGT